GTTCCATGTGATGCAGAGAAATGTATACCTTATTTTGTTTTCCCATTTAGAAGATATCATAAGTCTTTTAACTCTACTTTTTTTTCCATAAATTTGTTCAGTTTTCCCTTTTGTTTATATTTCTGTTAGGCATATGAAACTGATAGAGGGATATTGAAGTCTCCTGTCAATATTTTGTTACTGTCTCCTTGATAATCTCCTTGAAACTGTCCTTTTGACAATTTATTTGGAGCCTATTTTGCTGAAGTGTCTCAATCAGCATCTTTGTTGATTTCTTGTGGTTTTCTAATCAAAGTATCATATCATCAGCAAATAGGTAATTTTATCGCTACTTTACTTATCTTTGTTCCTTTTATTCCTTTCTCTTGTCTGGATTTCCTCTACTGCATCATATGATAATGGGGAGATTGGATATCCAATCTCCTTGTCTCCTTGAAACTCAGATAATATCTTCTTTATGAATTTGGATGCTAAGACATGTGGACTCTCTGTGTTCAATACTTATATTTGTGGTCTGCGGTTCCTTTCAGCATGATGTAGTTTCCTTATTTGCCCCTTTTTATTTTTTGAATGTTTGTTTTTGTTTTGTTTGATAGCATTACGGCAACTCCTGTTGTTTTAGATTCATTTATTGAATTTCACATTTTACCCCACCCCATCACTTTTATTGTGCATATGTATTTGTTTTTAAACATGTTTCTTGAAGCAACAGAGCATAGAATTTTGTCTTCTTAGTTAATGTCACTTTTTCATTTTATTTGTTCATTCCCTTTGCACTTAAAGTTATGAGTTAGGTTTATATTTTCTTCCATCTGTCTCTAAACTCGTTTTATTTTTCAAGTTAAAAATTTTCCCTCTTCTCCTAGAAATGCAGTATTATGTTCCTTCAGTTATTTTACTTTAATCTTTTTTCAAGGTGGCCCTGTGTTCACTTGTTCTCTTTCACTCACCCATGATTTCCTATTGTACATTACACTTTTCACTTTTGGATTTTGCTTATTAGTTCCTTTTTTCTCTTTTACTTCTACCTGGTAATATATCTCTTTCCTCCTATTTTTTCTTTTTAGTGTTTTTTTAACCTTTTTTTGGATTTTTAGTCTCCTAGGGCTTGTAGATAGCTTTGTCTTTGGCACATAGTATCTGTTTTGGAGAGGTCTGAGGAGTCACAGACGTCTGAAAAAAATGTCTAGTCTACCATTTTGTTGCCTACTTTACCTGGGAATCAAGCCCGTCACATTTTGAGGCAGCTTGTTTCAATTTGATTCAGCTTTAATTGTTAAGAATTTTTTTCTTGAAATCAAGTCTGAATTATCCTTTCTTTAATTTTGAATAATAGAATCATATAATTAGAAAAAACCTTAAGGATAATTTTGTACAGCATTTTCATTTTAGAGATGAAATACAAGAGGAGCTTAGAAGGGACCTCAAAGGCCACTTAGTTCCACTTTCTTATTTTATATGTGAATAAACAGAGGTCTAGGGAAACTTAAGTGACTCGTTGATGGTAGTAATTTCAAAGGCAGGATGTCCTCTTACCACAAAGTTAGTGTTTTGCACAAAGTTAACATGTACTGATAGAATTAAAATTTAATCAGTAGTACTCTCACTCTCAATTCAATACTCCTGCAATACACCTCAAACTTACATTGGTAGAATAGAGCATTAAGAGAGGGTAAGAAGTCCAATGGAACATAGGCTATGAATAGGTAGAACTGTAGCCAGAACCCAGGCCTTATGGCTAAGGCAAAGTTGCTATGATAACATAGTGTTCAAAAGTAGGTAATAAAGTTTTTTTCTGCTTTAGAAAGAACGTTACTTAATTGTAAGACTGAATTCTGAATAAGCATCACATTAACCAAGTAGAAACATACCGCCCTTTTGGTTCATATTTAATTATTAAGAATATCCCCAGTTATCTTTCCCCTTTCTTTTCCCTTCATGGGAGAGAGAGAGAGAGAGACAGACAGAGAGAGAGAGAGAGAGAGAGAGAGAGAGAGAGAGAGAGAGTGTTCATAGAAAATGAACAAAACCAATAGGTATTATTTCTTCCCTTAGATTATTATAACTTTTTCTTATTGTTGTTTTCCCTGCCTCTAAATTCTCATTGCTCCAAAAATTTTTACACATAAATGCCAAAACAAATTTTCATTTCTGTGTCACTGTCAGTCCATATTTACATTCATTCAATGGTTCTCCATTGTACTCTAAATAAAGTATACACTTCCAAATCATTCTTTTCCTCTGCTGTACCTTCCCATTTGTAAAGCTTTACAGAGGCTGAGTGTTTAGAATAACTCCCTTACTCACAGCACAAACCTTTCCATTTAAATTATAGAGCAACATTCACCTCATCTAGGAAACTTTCCTGATGAATTCTGCCTCATTTTGAACTCATTAATAAATTCCTCAATCCAAATCTGCCATTCAGTCTTATGCTTATAATTATTGGATTATGCATGTGTGTATTTATTTATTTACTTGGACCATGTGTATTTATTTATTTACTTGGACCATATTTGTTATTTCATCTCCCCAGGTTGCTCATTTTTTTTTCTTTTTTGGTGAGGCAATCGGGGTTAAGTGACTTGTCCAGGGTCACACAGCTAGTACATGTCAAGTGTCTGAGGTCGGATTTGAACTCAGGTCTTCCTGACTCCAGGACTGGAGCTCTATCGCTCTATCCACTGCACCACCTAGCTGCCCCTCCAGGTAGCTCTTAACTATATAGTTGGGCACCCTTGTAGTGAAAACAACTTTTATTACCTTAATAAATATAGTAAAAATAAGTTTGTTGATTTAACATAACCAACTCTATTTCAAGTCTCCATTGTGTCATTGAGTTGTTTAAGTTGTTTTTCTATAAGTTGATTTTCAATAAGATAAGCAATGTTTTGATATGATATAATAAATGTTTATGTTCATAAACATGTATTCATAAACAATGTGTTTTAAATATAATATGTTTACATATAAATATACAACTATATGTTTATATATAATAAATGTTTATGTTCATAAATGCGTGTATTCATAAACAATATGTGTTATAAACATGTGTGTTTGTAAACATGTGTGCTCATAAATGAATGATAAACATGTGAACCCTCTGATAAGAGAGACCACCAATGAAAAAATATTATAAACATATAAAATTTTATATATATATATATATATATATATATATATATATATATATATATAAATTTATCAGTAATTTATATCTCAGGGTAAATTAAATAGTTCAATCAGGCAACACAAAAGATAAAATGGATGGGCTCCAGGAGATCAGTAAGAGTACGGTGTGGGCACTACAAAGGTACTCGACTACATATTTCCTTACTAAGAGCTCCCTGGAGAGATGAAATAACAAATATCACCTAAGTAAATAAATAAACATACACACATGCTAAAATAATTATAAGCATAAGACTGTAGGGCAGGTTTGGGTTAAGGAATTTATTAGTGACTTCAAAATGAGATAAAATTCACCAGGAAACCTTCCTAGATGAGGTCAACATTGCCTATGATTTAAATGAAATGTTTGTGCCATAATTTATCAGTAATTTATGTAGTAAACTACCAATCAAATTATGTGGTTAATAATTTAGAAACATTCATAGCTAAAAGTATAAAAAAACTTTCCAGATGTCCCAGCCATGAGCCTATTCCTTGGGCATAGACAGAACTGGCTTCTGCACCACCATATTAGAGACCAGCAGCCTGTATTGTCATGACAGAGACTTACTTGCCAGATGACAACCTGGAGGGAGGCATACAGCTGGAGCTTAGAAGAGAGGGAATTTTGTATGAAAGAAGCTTATTGAAACATCTAAGACTTAGATTGTTGGTTTGTTCTTAGAGGAGAATGCTGTTGTCACTCTTTGATTAATAAGGTGTGATGGTATATATTAAGAAATGTAAGTCTAATTAGCATTTTTGTGGTGCTGGTTACAAATGTAAAGGCTATATATGCATGTACCCTGCATTACAACTTTCTCAGCAATTGATAATCCTAGAGAAATTCCTGGTGCCTCTGAGAAATCGAATGATTTGCTCAACCATACCAACAGTATATATTGTTTGTATATGCTTTTGGATTCAGTCACATCTGCACACAAAGGTATCAAAAACTGTCAGTAGCACTTCCTCTGTCATTTTAAGCAAGTCACTTAAATTACTAGGACCTGATTTTCCCTATCTATGGACTGTGAATAACAACGATGCCTTATTTGTCTTATCTTACCTGAATTTTTTGAGGTTTAGAAGAAGTGTCCTTGTAAATTGGGCATATAATAGGTAGAAGCTAGCTTGGTTCTTGGTATTGAGGAGAGTAAGCTACCTCAGGGTAATTAAAATAGTTCAAGCAGGTAGGCCAAAAGATGAAGTGGATGGGCGGCAGGAAATCAGTGAGAGCATAGTGTGGGCACAAACCATTAAGAACCTAGGGGAGAAAGAACAATGACAAAAGCAACAGCAGGAAACATAGAATTGTGCAAGGCTAAGTTCAAATATGTTTTCCTCTGGCCTTAGCCAAGCATATGGTGTCATCCCTCAGCACGAAAATGAAACTTTAAAGAAGAAGGACAGAGAGAATATAAGAATTAAAGCAGATTGGAGTATATTTCAAGGATCTATATAATTTATACTCCAATTCTACAGATCACAAATTATAAGTTAGTTGGCTAAACTGTGACCAAAAAAAATATCCTTTGGGAAAACCTATGAACCTCTTCAAGCTCAGGGCTCCTCAAATGGCATACATAGTCTATTTATGAGTTGGGGCTTATACTTAAAGTCTTTACAGCTTGGCAGAACCTGATAGAACTCATGCTCTGATTGTATGACCCTAAGGAACCCAAAGCTACCTCAATGTCATGAGAGGCATTGAAATTTTTAGGAGTCTTTAGTGGCAAAAGGGGATGGAAGTAAAAAAAAATGTTAAAGTGGCGGAGAAGGAAGAAATCAAATGCTGCTAATTTATTCATTTTATCTCATTTCAGGGTTACAGAAAGAGAATGCTGAAGGAAAGGAGTAGAAAAGTTGTATAGCTTAATGAGGGGTAAAGGACAATGAGAAGGCTCCATAAAACAGATACTTCTTGTGAGGAATGTCTTCATAAATGTATGAAAATAAAACCTGTCTCCCTTCTTTCTCCCCCCTCCCACCCCAAATACAGAACTAAAGCCAGGTTTCTTTTTGTTTCATTTGTTATTGTTATTGCTATTTTTGTTGAAGATGATGATGATGATGATGATGATGATGATGATGATGACATACAGGAAAGCAGAGTCAAGAATAGTGGAAAATAGTAGCCTTGCTTCCTTTGTTTAACTTTCATTCTGACTTAAGTTTATTTTCATAATAAGCTGGATTTGATCATAGGCTTTGTATATAGTATTCCACACAGGTCTTAAGTGATTTCTTTGACAAAATTTCACCAAAAAGTGTTTTGGAGGACCAGGATTCCCATAAGATACAAAGAATTTCTATCCCTAAGTCAGATAGGTATTTGGGACAATGGAATACCAATCAGCTCAAGACAAAGACCGTCAAAAGAAATAACTCAATTTTAGCTGTAGAACACTGCTGAGATTTTGTTGAACTCTCTTCACTGGATATAGTGACTCGCGGCCTCAGCTATAATTACAAAGAGCTTTCAGAATATCCTTACTGGAGAAAAAGCTTTGCACCCTAGGAACCAATAGGGCTAGTAGGTAGTACCGAGAAGGTGAAAACCAAAACCTGTAGGCAAAGAGAAGGTAGGCATCATAACCCAGGAGACACACCTCTGTAGTAACTAGAAGAGCATTTCCTGGTCATGACAATACAACCAGGGTAGAGTAGAGGGAGAACCATGATGGTACCACCAGGGTATATCAGCCACCTACAGCATCAGAGGTACAAGTTGTGCTCTCCTGGCTATGCATGAAATTTAATCACATAAATTCCCTACACTTATGCTTTCCATACATGTGACTTAGCCACACGGGGGCAAGATTGGTGCTTTGTTAGACAAGTTCCTTGATTATATGTGTTCATTTATGTGTATACTCTCCTTATGTGTTTTCCCCTCTCCCCATCTTTTCTAAATATGTGCCCAACCCATTGATGCTGAGGTGACCTTTGAAAGTGTATTCATAATCTCTTGTTTCTTTCTTTGCCATGCTATTTGATTAAATTACTTTTGTTTAAAATAATGAATACTCTGACTAGTTGGTAAAGTAATATACATTGGTGGTGGTGGGGTGCTTATAAGCTGTTTTTTGTTGTTGTTATTGTTGTTTTATTTTAGTAATCAATGACCCAGAAGGCAGTTCAAACTTTTCTGGGTGAGAGTGGGCACTCTGGTATTCAACACAAAAATCAAGTGTACCTGCCCTACAAAATATTATGTAGTAGATACTTCCTTTTTTCAGTTCCATTGGTTTGAAGCCAAGGCAGTAATTCAATTCCAGAGAAGTAAGACGTTTTCATGTGAGGTGCACTTCAGTGGAACAATTTGATTTATTTTGGACATTGTATCAGGAGAAAAGGTTACAGGATTGTTAGAAAAATTTTGTGTTATTGTACTTAGCAGGTCAAGGACAAAGTCTATTCACTCCTTTCAGAAATAAAATAGGGGATTGAGCAGATACCATCACCCAGTTAAAAAGATATTGCAATTTATTAACAATTCTAGTAAAAGAAGATGGCATATCTAGGATTTAAAGTGAGGAATAAAAATGTTAAACACAGCTATTGCAAGCGGAGCATGGGGCAAGCCACCTGTTTTTCACTTACTGAGAAAGAAGGGTTACAGCTGGTACAGAAGACAGCCAAAGGCATTCTCTGGAAATGACTCAGGAAATCATTTGATTATTATGTGCAGGGGAAAGGAACAATAGAGCTTGTGACATCTGACCACATACATGGAGAAAAGTCTCCTGGTACCATAAGGAAAGGAGAAGACACAATTTCAGGAAAGGAGAATTTTGTGTTGGGGAAGAAAATAAAATTAAAAAAATACTAATTATATATATATATATGTGCAGGTGTATGTATATATACATATACATATGTGTATATATGTATACATGTATGTGTGTATATATATGAGTGTGTGTGTGTATATACAAGTGTGTGTGTGTGTGTGTGTGTGTGTGTGTGTGTGTGTGTGTGTATGACAAGAAGGGCAACCAGGAAAGAATTGGAAGAAGGAGATGGAAATGACATAGGGAAGGAAGACTGAGAATAATTTTTTTTCTAGAAAATATTGTTGGAAATTTAGAGAAGAAAAGAGAATGTAATAAGATCTGCAGAAAAATTAATAGAGGAAAAGATCAATGCAAATATGACTAAAACACCTATTATAGATGGAGCCAAAGTAAGTTTAATAATGACCTCAAGATAAGAAAATAGACTAGAAAATAAAGAATTCAAAAGGGAAGGAAACAGGAGGATAAAAAAAAATCTCAAACTAGTGAAGTTATTATACATCTGGAGAATGCAAGGCTTCAAATGAAAACCTGTGATAACAAATAGCACAAGAATGGAGAAGGACCAAAATGAAAGCCAATGATTTCTAAGAGGAGAGAAACTGGATGCAATTTTTATAGGATTATGGATTTAGAGCTAGCAGGGACATTAGGGTCTATCAAGTCCAACACCCTAATTTTTCAGATGGGGCGACTAAATCACAGAGGGGTTAAGTGACTTGCCCAAAGTCACACATCTATTAAGTAAAGTAGGAATATAATTCAGATTTTCTTGACTCAGGGTCCAGGACATTATCTACTATGTCACCTAGTTCCTCATACAAAAGACAAATCTGAGTACAAAGAGATGAAGGTTGAGCCTCTTGACAATGGCCAATTGGGACAGGGATATTTTTTAACACAGGTAATATGGATATTTGAAACATATTGGATAAGGGCTGGAAACCCCCAGATATGGATTGGAAATGGGAAAATGTTAGATTTATAAATGAAAATGTAACCAATTTTTTTCATTTTTGGAAAGGAAAACCTTTTTTTTTAATGGAAGTAGTATAAGATAAGTGCTTAGAAAGACTTCTGTTTTGTGATGTTTAAAATGTTCAAGAGACATAATTTCTGAATAAGTAATCATTTTATTAATAATGCAAACATTTTAGTAAAAGAGGTCAGTGGAACTCTCAAATGCTAAAGACCATCATGGTGCCAGGCTCATGGCTTCTATGTCCTTGAAAAGCAGGCATAGTAGCAATGGGCAAAGCAGCTATGCCCTTGGAAAGTGTTCCAGAGTGTGACAATCAACTCTGATTGGTTAACAAATAATGAGAGAGGGGCAGCTAGGTGGCACAATGGATAGAGCACTGGCCCTGGAATCAGGAGGACCTGAGTTCAAATCCAACTTCAGACACATAACACTTACTAGCTGTGTGACCCTGGGCAAGTCACTTAACTCCATTGCCTAAAAAACAACAACAACAAAAAAAAACAGGTAATGAGAGAGCATGACTATTACAATGAGGAGCTGGACCTATTCTAATGAACATTGATTATGTCATTTACTTCCAAATTACCCCCAACCTTGGACAATCTAGTCAAAGGATTTATCCTCACCAAAAACTGAGTAGAACACAATAGGCTTCCTTACTTTAGATTAAATTCTTGTAAGTATGAATGTGGTTTGACCAAGCTTGAGAGTTAATTCAATCTCATTATCAGTAATGTCCTGAAATTTGAAATGTGTTCTATAGAAAAAGGGAGAACTCTAGATCTCTCCAAATCATAGGTTATTAACAACTGTTTCTCTCAATTTTGGGAGGGAAAGATGATATTACAGAATTGAAAGCTTTCAAGAAATTATCTAAGAAGCCAAATATTCAGGGCCAGTCTCAAAGAATACACAAGACAACCAGTGTCATATAGTGGATAGAGAGGCTGACTCAGAGGCAAAAAAAAAAAAATGGATACACATTTTGTCTTTGACAAGACTAGCTGGGAGACCCTGGGTAATTTGTTTAACATCTCAATCTCTAGGCAATCTCTAAGATTCTAAGTTGTAGAGATAGCACAGAACTGTATTAGTAGAAAGAGTCTACTCACTCAGAAGCTTCCTCTACCAAGGAAATCATAGATCTAGTCTGTATTCCTATTCTGTAATAATATACAGAGTTGGAATACTCTTACTTAGATCCTATTGCAAATAGTGTGGAATGTGTTTACAAAAAAAAGTGGCTTAATAAAAATGGCAGGTGTCATGTACAAGAAAGAATGAAGATTGTGTCATGTAATACTAAAGATCCTGACTTTTCCAACAAAGCTTTGATGATAGCAGAAAGCAATTTCCCCAAAGCCAGGACATTTGGCAGAGGCATTTGGAGGATGAACAAATTCTTATTAGATAGGAAGGAATTAAAAAAAAATGTGATCAAGAGGAATGATCAAATGAAGATATCATTTTCTCTTCTAAGACATCTGTCATAAAATAAGTTAAAATATAATATAAATGATTTTCTTAAGGGAAGAAAGGAAAGCAAATCTGCACAAAGCAGATAGTCCAAGTTATAGAAGAGTTAAAAGGAGAGTATAGATGGAAAAAGGGGAAGAATTTTAATAGAAATTTTAATCAATAAATGCACATTTATTAAGTGCCTACTGCATACTAGGGACTGTGATAAGCACTGAGGATATAAGAAAAGGAAAAAGACAATCTCTGCCTTCAAGGAGCTCACATTAAAGAGTAAGTTAAAAAAGTTTACAAAAAGAGAATGAATGTTGTAAAAGAATAAAAAAATATTACAAAAGAATGGAAGTCATCTATATTTTAGAGCCAAAATATTTTATTTTAAAGTCTAAAATACATTTGTAAATAATAAGAAAAGAGGGCATGGTAGATAGAAGAGGGTTTAATAGATTACAATGGGTATATTAAGTTAAGGGAGAAAACTGTATGAATTAGAAAGTGTTTATGGAATTATTTCAGCTATAAGAAGAAAATCAAAAAGAAGTAAAGGGACATGATTAATTATTGAATAACTATCATAGAGTGAATGAATATGTATTTTTATAGTATTCTTCAACTTAAGAAGTATGCTCAAATTACTACTTAAAATAATACTGGTTCACATTTGTAATTCACTTTGCTCTTTTCAGAGTATTTCCCACATCTTATGCCCCTTTTCACTTTAATGATGGTTGGTTCATTGGCAACAAAGAGT